CAGGTGGTGGTGGAAGTTTGATCACTGCTGTGGAAGCCTGGGCGCGGGAGGCGACGTAGGTCCCTGACCCAGCTGCCCTCTCCTGGGTCACGTGACCTTCAACAGGTCACCTAGACGAGCAGGGACGCGCCTTACTCATGTCCCAGCCTACAGTGACTGGCATGAGCAGAAGTTCAGCCGATACATTATTAGCTCACATCCGATCTCCTTCCGCCTCCGAATTCCCCAAGCCCGTGGGCAGCTAGGCTTTTGGAGCCCAAACTACAGCGCCTGTGGGTCCTTAAACCCGGACAGTCCCAAAGCCGTGCGCCGGGCAGCACTCAGCACAGCACCAGACAAAAATGCAAAACCTCCCCTTTCCTCCCCGAGCAGACGTCCTCGTCCAAATGGGTTCGAACACATGGGCGCTGTTCTCGCAGTCTGAGAGGCTGTGGCGGGGCCTACGCGCTGTGCGGGGTGGACAGATCACACGGGCAGTTGACAGTGTCTGTGGGGACAGCTCTATAGTGAGACTTGAAGGCCTCCGGGCTGTGACACTGACCTCCGTGGACCCTGCAGGAAGCCTTCCTGCCCACTTGTCCCTGGCGGACCCTGGCCCGGTCACTGTCCCGTGAGACCTAAGGCAGCGCAGGAAGGAGGATGCTCACGTCGTCCCTAAGGTCAGGGGCCGCTTCCTCCTCCCTCCGGACCCCCTCACTCTCCTCGCTGTCCATGCTCAGCGCTGTGGGGTGCGGGTGCGAATCTGTGCCCACCGTGAGGACCCCCACGCCGGGCCGCGGTCCTCCTCTCTCACCCCTGCTGCCTTCCAGCCTCCTTCTCTCTTGACCAGGTTTCTGTGTCTCCAGGACCGTGAGGCCCGCACCGTCACCGGTCAGGCTGACCCTCAGGCACTAGGACAGGGGAGCCCCAGCGCCATGGCTGGCTCCAGGTTGAAGCTCGGTTGGAGGTCCCCTCTGGGGGCCCCCCAAAAGAGGCAAGCACCTCCTGTGCCCCCTGAAAAGGGAAGTGCGCCACCCTGAGGGACGCCTGTTAGGTGGGCTCTTCGCAACTCCAGGTTGACATGTGTGTCCTTGAGGACCCTTCCTTGGCCACCCTCAGGTCCCCAGGGTCTGCTCCACCCGCCAACCCCCCTGCAGTCTCTCCCCCTGCACGCCAGTTCCCCCTGTAACCCTAGAAAGTCCCAATGACAAAGGCAACGTTAGGGCACACTTATAGAACAGCAGACCTGCAGGCGTGTTATGACAGAAGTTAGAAGTCAGTTCACAGGCTGTGGCTCTGCTCATGCTCCCTGTCACCTAGCCAGCCTTGACTGTCTAGGCCCAGAGGCTCCCCCTTAACAATGTGTGGGGCCAAACTGACTGTGTCCGGCTTGTGTTTTAAAAATAAGTAGTGATTCCAGTGCTTCAAGGGCTTCAAGGCTGTCATTTGGGGGAAGCCTTGCCCAGTCAAGGACACCTTCTACTCTACTTACTCTTCTCAGGCCCCCTCCCTCCCAGAATGTTCCTGTACAACCCTGCCTGACAATATGACATAGTTCTTGTATTCCACGTAATCAATCATGTAATAACCTGAGATCAGCTTTGTACTTCCCACTCGCAACCATACTTAAACTGAACTCGAACCGGACTCCGGGCTGGTGATTTGAACCTCTGCGTTCCCCAGCCTGTTGGGTAATAACAGTTGCCATCTAACTCCTCGGTGCAAAGTCTTCCATTTGCTTTGATACTGGTTTTTCTGCGACAGTAATACCAGAGAACTCTCACGAGTCACCTAGAAATATCTTTTTAAAAGAGCGCTAGGTGCCTCCTCAGGAGAATTCTGACCAATCTAATTGAACTAAAAGGAAAGGGATTGTTCTAATCAAGCCTGGCCCATCCTTCCAAAAGTACACCCTGACTTAAAGTCCCTGACCCGTGCTTCTGCTCGCTAAGCTGGGTCTATCGTTGTGGCCTTGGGCACAGAGACTGCCATACGAGGCTCCCTCCATGCCCAAAAAGCAGCCACTTGAACCAATTTCCTTGTTTTCTCTATGGGGAGCTTCTCTGGTTTTCCCCCTGGCCCCCAGCCCCTGAAACTAGAGGAACTATTATTGTTTGTAGCAATATGATTTAAAGAAGAAAGATCTATGACCACTGGGCACCCCCCCCCAATGCCACGGAAGCCACAAGAGATTAAACTCCAAGCTCAAGCCCGTGGTGATCGAGTTCAGGGAAAAATAACAGGAGGACAACCGTGAAAGTGTCACTGCCCAGGGAAAGCCTGGCAAAAGAAGAAGACACAGGGCAGAGGTCTGAGCCCGAGCTGGAGCCCAAACCCAAGCCGGTCTAGAGTAGGTCAGGCTGCGAGGCTGTGTTGGCACGTGCCTCTCCCAGCGCACGCAGCCTGCCCTGTTCCGGCAGGTGGTGAGCTAAGCCTGACCCTGCTCAGATGGCAACAGCCCAAGCTGGGCACGCTGGAGCACACCTGTAACCCCAGCACTTGGGAGGCAGAGGCAAGGAGATCACCATGAGTCCACATAGTGAAACCTGGTCTTGAAAAACCAAACAATCAAAGCAAAACAACACACACACACACACACACACACACACACACACGTCTTTCCCACATTCTTTGCCTGTTGGTGAATTCTATTGACCCTCATGCCACTGGCTCCCTGTCATTGTCTGGAAGGTCAGCATTGGCTGAAAGTGGCCAAATAGCTCAGCACGTGTGTGGAATGAACGCAGGCTGACGGGGGGAAGGCGCACACTGGAGGTCAAAGGCAGAAGCCAGGGAACTGTTCTCAAGGCCTCAGTCAGCCTGGTGGGAAGTGGCTCAGGGAGCCCAGCGCAAATGTCTCTCTGAAATGTGATCAAAAATGGTGACTGCTGCCGCTGCGTGCCATCTAGTGGAGAGGCAGGCTAGGCTTGTGAAAAAAAAGAAGTCCTCATCCACCTTACTGGATCTGGCACCGTGTGACTTCTGGCTCTTCCTCAAAGTCACAATGACCATGAAAATATGTTTTTAATCCATTCAGGACAGTGAGGCAGCCGGGACAGCACAACTAAAGAGCCTCAGGAAAGAGAACCTCCAGAGCTGCTTCAGAAAGTGGCAAGAATGATGGGACGAGTGTGTTCAAAGTGAGGGGAGGCTTTTGAGGGGGAATTTACAGCAATGCGTCTTTTACTGTAATACATCTTTAAAAATCTCGACACTGAATTTTTCAATGACACCTTGGATGTGCTTTTGTGCCTCTGTGAAGCATTTGATATGCCATGAAACCGGAGGGCAGAAACGGTGGCAAAGCCACCCGTCTGAGCAGACAAAGGCCAGCTGCTTGTCGGCCTCTCCCGGCAGTGGAGACACAAACCACTTGCCGTCCAACCATGCCCAGCGCACCTCGGCCTCAGAGCTGGACCCGGATACTGGGTGTGGAGGAGACTGCGGGGCCGGGCGGAGAAGCAGAGCCATCCACCTGAGCACAAATCAAGCCACATTCGGAACAAAGCAAGCTGGTGCGTGCGAACCCACCGCAAGCACAGAAGGCTCTGACAGCGGCTTCCAAGCAGCACAGACAGCGTCCCAGCAGCAAGTGTGAAAACAGCCTAGACTCAGATATGGCGGGGCGTCAGTGCTCCTCGGGGAGCCGGAGGAGCGGGAGACTCTGCTCGGGCGACGGGCCTGCTCCAAGGGACAGCTTGTCCCCAGCCAGGCCCTCACATGGCTCCATCGCACGTGCAGGTACCCTCTGCTGTGCTGATGCTGCCTGCTGTCTTGGCTCTGCTCGCTTTGGTCCCCGTAACAGCGCAGTGTCACTGTGGGGACGCTGCTGTACTTGCATTGTCCCACTTCCCACTCCCACGGCAGCACTTGCCTCGAGCGACCCTCTGTCCCTCTCTGCAAACCTTCCCGGCTCCTCCTGAGTTCTACAACACTCATGCTTTGCAGCAATGTAGCGCTGGTCCCCAGCACCCTCAGAGTTAGCTGACTATTTATTATTTGGGGGAGGTTAGTTTTCGTTTCTTGAGACAGGATCTCACTATGTAGTGCAGGTCGTCCTTGAACTCACAGCAATCCTCCTGCCTCAGCTTCCTGAGTGCTGGGATTACAGGTGTGCACCACCACCCTAGGCCCCTTTAAAATTTTAAGGAAGGCAGAACCGTCCTGGCACCAGCATGGTGTTCCTTGCCATCACTGCATTGCTCCTGACCCTCTCCCCAAGCAGAGAGGGACCCTTGGGTGAAAGTTCCCCACGCCTCACCCTCAGCTGGGCCCAAGACCCAGGCACCCAGCAATACAGGACGGACAGGGAGGGGAGCCCCAGCGGGCCTGTGCTAGCCTCCCTCACCTCCACGGCAGCAGGGGCGTGGACTGCGCAGCAGACCTGGCCCAGTGCCCTGGGGCATCAGCAGCCGCCCAGGGGGACTTTCAAGTCCAAGTGAGGCCACAGGCATCTCCACAGCTCTTGTTCCGTCCTGCTTCTGTCCGCCCCGCCCCTTTCCTCTCGCTCGCTTCTCCTGCACTTTCTCTCCCTTCTGTGCCCACACTGCTCTGATTTGTCTCTTTCTTGCCCTCTGGCCTGATGTCTTTCTCTGACTTTCTTTCCATTCCTGTCACCCGCTTTCCAATTTTTCTGCCACAGTTGTCTTAATTCTGTAGCACTCCCCTTCGCTAGGAGTTCTGCCTTTTTCTCTATACAAAACCCAACATGCCCCGGTTCCCAGTCAGGGATGGTAGCTGTAACCCCAGCACTCAGGAGGCTGAGGCAGGGGGATCATGACGAATTCAAAGCCAGGCTTTGAATTCACTGTGAATTCAATGCCAGCCTGGACTGCATGGCGAGACCCCGTCTCAAAACAAGCAAACAAACAAACAGCCCTGGCTCTCCGGGGGTTTCCCAAACCAGACCACCCCTGCCTCCCTAGCATTCCCCCCGCATCTTGCCCCATCTCTGTCCAGACCACTCTCTCCCTGAAGCCAGCCTCCCCTGTCCCTTAGTGCCACCCGGCTGCAGGGCTTACCCAGGAGGCAACAGCACAGGCAGCTCAGGAGCACCCAGGGCGCCCCCCTCATGGCGCCACACAGTCCTCGGCTGCGGCTGCGCGGCACAGAAGCGGCAGTGTGAGGCGTGGAGAGAGGCTGTCCCTGCCGCCTGCCGCCTCTCTCTCAGGTGTGTTTCCTGCAGGGCCGGTGAGTACCCAGGAGGAGGACAAAAGAGGGCGGTGCCCCTGCCAATCACCAGCCCTGGCTTTCTTCTCTCCCTCCCCACCCCCTCCCCACCAGGAAGAGGTCCAGATACACCCATTGCTCCGGTCCTCGCCGGTAGGGCCAAGGGCAAGAGGGGAGAGAAACCACACACACACACACACACACACACACACACATGCACACGCACACGCACACACACACGCCGATGGCCCTGAGCCCTGGCCTTGGACCCCAGATAACCACAGCTATAGCAGGAGAGGCTGAGGCCCTTCAGACAGAAGGCAGGGAAAGGGGAAGATGAGGGCTGAGAGGTGGGCGTGGGCTGTGTGGACAGGGGAGCGAGTGAAACGCCCTAACGAAAAAGCTGGGGGGACCCAGGCATGGTGGCACACATGCCTACAATCCCAGCACTCAGGAGGCTGAGGCAGGATGATTGTCACAAGTTTAAGGCCAGTCTGGACTACACAGTGAGTTCAAAGCCAGCCTGAACAACATAGAGAGACCCAGTCTCAAAAACAACAAAAACTCAAAATGAAAAAATTACCCATGGGAGGAACCGTTGGGGTGAGGGGTGGGAACACCTGCAGGTTGTGCGGTTGTATGTTGGGACGGGGCTGTGGGCCTCGACTGCTCACGAAGTGACGCTCTCTCATGGTGGAGCCGGAGGCCAGCAGGGAGAGCAGCTGGATGGGTCTGGCTCAAGTAGAATCTGGTACAAAGAGGAACGGTGACCCAAGAGGAAGTACGAGATACTCCTGGAGGCCTGGGGCTTAGGTCACCCCCATTTTGACCTCTTGGGACTCAAAAGCCCAAGCAGGGAGGAACAGGGGCCCCACACGAGGTGTGGCAGGAAGAGCTCTGAAGCAGGGAGGGGAGCGGTTGGTGTAGCCATGGGAAGGAAAATGACAATGGCTCCCTCGCCCCAGACTCTCCGCTCCTGACACCCCAAGATATGATCGCTCAAGCGTGGCGTCTGCAGGGCGGTTGGTGCCCAGACTCCGCAGGCCCCAGGGTAAGGACCCAACGTTTCTGCACTCCCAGGCGGAGCCAGCCTTGGCCAAGGGGAGGACAGGCTGACGCGGTGCTAACTCAAAGGACCCAGGTGCCCTGCAACCTTGTTGACCATTTGCCTTCTGAAGCCAAAAGCTTGGCTATGACCCAAGCTGAAGGCTGGACCCTGCTGCTGTCATGCTGTGTCACCACTCGGGCAGCAGCACAGTGTCCCTCACCCCTGTAGGGACATGGTGATTCTATCCTTTCCTGGGAGCCAGACAGAGGGTGAAGAGGGACTGGGACACAGAGAGTAGGAGGATGTCACCCAGGAGAATTTGCATGGTCCCCAAGGCCCGACTGGGCCCTCAGCACCATTTCTCTGGGTTGGTTCTTGCTCAGCACCCTCCCTGTTAACTCGTCATCTGGCCACTTTGGTGACACTAACCAGACTGGCTTCCCACCTACAGACTGCCAGACGTCAGAGCTGAACATCTGGTCGACCCAATGCGGCTGCCTCCTGCTTCCCAGTGCAAAGGAGCTGGCAGCACAGTGTGTTCTCCGGGGGGCCACTGTAGGAGCTGGGTCCATGTGGGCATCAGGACAGCCAAGCTGAGCCCTCACTCTGCCCCCAAGGTAAGTGGCAGCCCCTTTGAGCTGTGTTTCCATCTATACAATGGGAATGACAACACTGACCCAAGGGGTGGTAAGGCTGAAATGACTTACAGATATGCACATGCTTTAGAGATGTTAAAGCACCTGGAAGGGCATCGCTCCATCCTGACACCATCCCAGGAGACGCAGACAAATGGGCTGGCCCTGGGAGGAGGAGTCACTGGCGCATGAATTCCCAGGATTGGAATCCTGGGAATCCTACCTGCACTGATCTTTCCTGTGACCCCTTTCCTGTACTAGGGATGGAACCCAGGGCCTTTGCACTGAGCTACACCCCCAGCCCTTTGTATTTTTTATTTTGAGACAGGGTGTAAATTGCCCAGGTTGGGCTGGAACTTGCAATCCTTCTTCCTCAGCCTCCCAGAATGCTGGAATTACAGGCATGCACCATACCCCAGTGGGTTCTAACATTTTGAAGGGGAGCCAGGAATTTGGAGAGGAGTGTGCTATCCTTATTCATCTTTTCCCCGCCTCCCCAGGTTCCTTCTGCTTTTTCTCTGAGCCCAGCTCCTTCTCAGTTTACCCAGCCCCCACAAGTAGGATGCTTCTAGGACTCTGTGCTGGGTGCCCCTCGCTCCGTCTGGGTGGGTCCTGGGACATCTGTTTGTTTTTCCTTCACCCCATGGGGACAGGGTGGGGGTGGCTTCTCTGAGCTCTGTCCTGTGAGGACCTTCTAGGCCTGTAGACTGCTGGGCTGTCCCAACAGGAACCAAAAGTCAGGTTTAAGTGCATATTCCCTGGGACAAAAAGAGCTCAGGCTGGACCCCGGCGTAAGTCAGCCAGAGCAGGGGCGATACCCTGAGTTGTTCCCACAGACCTGGCTGGGACTGGGAGCTCGCAAAGTCAGGCTGTTCAAGGGACAGTTCTCTTCTGAGCCCTCAAAGTGGGAACTCTGGCTTCTTGGGGCCCCCAGCATTGCTTACCTCCTTATAATTGACCCCTTCATACATCCTTATGCTGCTGATCAGACCTCAGCCGCCTGAGATGGGGCAGGAAGTCAAACATTTACTAAATCAGATTTATGAAGCCTTGAATAAAAAGACTCATAACTAATGGGGAAAAAAAGAATCAAGTTACATCATGTGCAGGTACAAGTTCCCTATAATGAATGGGATCATTATGCATATCTAAAGTGTACCAATACACACAATTATTAAAAAGAAATAAAAAGATCTAGGAGCTTAGCTGACCGCAAACTTCACCTGTGGCAGCTGTCAAAGTTAGCCTAACTTTCAGCTTTACTGGAAAGGTGGAATGGTTTGGTAGAAAGGTGTCATTTTTTTTTTTAAAAAGAGAGAGAGAGAGAGATTAAAAATATACCCATAGTAAGACATGTTGTTTTTCTTTTCTTTTTTTTTTTTTTTAAACTTTGTAACTAGAGTGCCAAGCCCAGGTCCCATGTGAGAAAACAGAGGTATCTGGGCGTGGTGGCACCTGCCCATAATCCCTGCACTGTAGAAGCAGAGGCAGGAGGATCGCCATAAGTCCAAGGTCAACCTGGGCTACATAGCAAGGCCATGTCTCAAAAAAGAAGAAAAAAAGATACAGACCAGAGGGGTTGACATTGCCATCGGCGGCCCCGTGGCCAGATCCCTGGACGGGGGCAGAGTGTGTGTCATTTCCATTGCAAAGCAAGGGGCCCAGGCAACAAAGGGGAAGTCCCCAGGCCTCCAGGAAGGCAGAGCCTGCCACTGGCTCCACACCGACTCCTCCTAGGTGTGACCAGCTTGTCCACTGCAATGCGCTCATTTCCCTGCTCAGTTTACCTCGGGGCGCAGAGGGCCTAGTGCCTACTCAGCCCACACCTCCAGGGGAAGACGGGTCGGTGCAGCCGGCCACCCTGGGTGCACAGGAGGCCCAGGGGCCAGTGCTGGTCTGGAGCCAGGAATCTCAGCTCATTCTATTCATTCACCTTCGAGAAGACGTAAATGAAAGCCCGGAAGTGAGTCCAGCGCCAAGTGGGGGACCCAGATTTGCTACTTATGTCGCAGGTTGTGGCCTTGCCTCCTAAAACCTGAAATAACGAAAGGATCTCAACTGCACTGCAGAACCGGAAGGGCCCCTGGCAACCCCAGAGTCCAATCCCTTCTGCCAGGGATGAGGTGGGGCCCGGAGAGGCAAGCGAGCACCCAGTCCACACAGTGGTCAGCGGGGCTCTTGCCCCGGAACCCCGCTCTTCAGAGCTCTTTCTGCTTGGTGCCTGTGCCACCTGGGGTTCTACCCAGGTGTCTTCACGTCCCCCTGGGACCCAATTTCATCCAGAATTACTTCTCTTAATACTTTGATAGATTATTGCCTTTCTCCCGCAAGTAGGGCATTCAGATAGGTTTCTTTGTTTCATTTTTTTTTAGATAGGGGTCTTACTACGTTATCCAGGCTGGTAGGTCTCAAACTTGTGACTAGCTGGGACTACAGGTATGTTCTACTGCCCCTGGCTCATAAACATAGTTTGAATCTATCATATTATTGATATAATTTATATTCCTACTTTATCACCGAACTTTAAAAGTAGATCTCTTCAATTATTACAAACATTTCATTTACACATTTTTGAAGGCTGTATAATATTTCATTAAGTATCACTATTTGCATTGAGGGCTATCCTAACTTGTTTAACTAAGGTGGACACTTGAGTTCTTTACAGTTGTCCTTATTATAAGAGAGGCAGAGATGACAGTCTTTGTACCCAAAGTGGTTCATTTCCTTGAGCAAGAATCAGGCCTGAGATGTTTCCGTCTCTCCAGCAGGAAGTTAATGAACACGAATTAGCTTAGTCCAGGATATAAAGCTTTTTCTTGACATTTGGGGCCCATTAAATCTGTTCATGTCGACAGTCTAATGGCAGAGGCAAGATCAAGAGCACAATGACACGATGACTTAGGTGACATAAAAATAATAGGTAAATTAAGGACTCTGTTGGTATTTTGAAAATAGGTAGAGTCCCCCAGAACTTCTTCCTTCCCAGGGACCTCCCAGCCTCAGTCCATGACTAATTCCAGGCCTCTCCTTTGAATATCCGCATCCTGATTCTTAGGCCAGGTGAATATGCTAGAGCCACAATCCAGAAAGAATTTGAGTTTGTTTTGGGGCTGTTTGGTGTTTTTGAGACAGAGTCTTGAGCTATGTAGCCCAGGCTCACCTTGAACTCAAGGTGACCCTCCTGCCTCAGCCTCCTGAGTGCTGGGCTCTAGAGGGAATTGGAAAGAGAAAGGGGATGGAGTGGGAAATCAGCCAGAGGGTTAGCAAAGAAGTAAGCAGAAGTGGCCTGAAGCAGAACCCAGCTGAGGACTGCAGCTCACTGCTTCCTCCTGCTGCCCTTGGCAGAGGGACCAGCTGCAGCTCCAGGGGGAGGGCCTAGGGGAGCCCCAGCAAGCCCTGCTCCTGGGTGTCCCGATGGACCACGAGATGACCTCACGGAGTCACAGCCTAGCAGCTCTGGGCATGGAGGGTCTGAGGCCAAAGTCGGAGGTGCTGAGCCTGGTGAGGGCCACTGAGAAAGCTTTGCGTCCTTTCCCAGGGTGGCGTAACCACGTCCCATGAGCCGGGAGCACCGAGCAGCAGCAGCGGCGATGCCCTCTCCCTCAGCTCAGGAGCAGGAACTGAGCTCCGCGGGCCACCCCGGCTCTGGGGCCCTTCTTGTGCCACTGGCGCTGACCTCAGTTGGTGGCGGCCCTGGGCTGATAGCTGATCACCCTGATCTCTGCCTCCCTTGTCACACGGGCGCCCCTCCCTGTGTGCGTCTGTTTTCTTCACATGAGGTCACCAGGCCCTGGGGGAGGTCCTCCCTGACCCGGTGTGACACCGGTTTCGCAGAACGAATAACACCTGCAAACACTCACTTTCCAAGAGCTCGCATTCTGAGGCTCCGGGTGACATGGATTTTGGAGAACATTTCTTCAGCACAGTCTAGCCTCCTTGAAGAAAGTTTGGGGAAGGGACAAGCACAAATCATTACAACAGATGAACCCACTGTGGAAGGACAGCAGGGGACCACGTCACACAGCACTGCCCCTGGAAATCCCCTGAACGCCTGCCCGCGCCAGCAAGGAGTCACCGGTCACGCTGGGTGACGCAGGGAGCCAGCGGGACTCATCCTCAGTCTTCGCACGGGCCTGGAGTGGGTGGACGGCAGATGCCGCACCTCCCTGAGGTGGGGTCCCCACCGAGGCGACCCTGTCCACCACCCGAGAGCGCTGAGAGGAAGTGACAGAAACCGAACAGCAGGGTCACATCTGCCCCTGGCCATTTCAGCCCTGCTCTCCAAGGGGGCCTTGTGACAGGGGAGTGGCGTCGGCATATTTACAAATAAACGATCCCCGCCTGGCTGTGACAGCCAGCTCCCCACCCTCCAGGCTGACCCCAGCAGCTCTGCGGGCGGGCCGGGAGGGACTGGACTCAGACGCTGGTCTGCAGCGACACGGTGCCAGGCTCTCCCGCTGCTGGGAAGCGGGGCTTGCAGGCCGCCTGGCTTGCTTGCAGCCGCAGCCTCCTTGGAAAGTTCTCCCCCAGCCCCCGCCCCACTCCGGGCTGCGGCGGCGGAAGGATCATCGTCCACCAGCCTGCAGGCGGAGCTGCCCCACACGCAAGGCTGGGCCAGCGCTGGCTTTGGCTGAGAGGTCCCAGGTCAGAAAGAGCCGCCCGGAAGGTGGCAGGTTTCATGGGCTGCTATGGCCTAGGGAGTCCCTGAATGAGCGGGCAGCTGAACCCCGAGCCCTGTGTCCCTGAGGTTAGGCTACCTGTCCTCGGCCAGCGTGGCCCATGCCCAGGGGCCCGATTGCAGCCGGATGCTGCCTTTCGACCTGTGAGGATCCGGCCTGCGGAAGGCCCTGGCTGTCGGGAAGCCGCCCACGCTGACGCCCTCGCCATCAGAGTAGAGATGGCTGCGCTTTGCCCAGCGTATTCAGAACACGAAACCCAACACGTGTGCTTTGGTCAGAGCCTCTCCTCCCACCAGCCTCCGTAAGCGATCCGCACATTTGAAGAACAACACTGACTTCTGTGGCCCTTTTGGGGATCTTAAGTATGACCTGTCACCAGACAAATGCACAGGGTGATCAAATGAAAGGGTGCACATTTATGCTTTCAAAAAATTTATTATAGGGGCTGGGGATGTAGCTCAGCAGCACAGCGCCTGCCTGGCAAGCACAAGGTCTTGAGTTTGATTCCCGGTACTGGAAAAAAAAATTTAAAAAATAAAAAATTTATTTTTTAAAAAGTCTTTTATCTTTATTCTAGGATTTAGAAAATGGTAGCATTTAGGTCTATATTCACAGTAATTATTTCTGCATTTGCAAGGCGTTGCTCAATGTTTTGTAGCTGTTGAGATGTCTAATGCGTGCTAATTCTTGACTGTTTGCATATGGCCCTGTCTCTGTTTTCCTCTTGGACCTTCTTCTGTTTCAATGTTTTGAAATTCTAGTTTTGTGCTATAAATGTGAGGGTCTTCTTGTTTTTAATTGATTTTTCTGGCTTCTTGGTGGATTTTCACTCTGGAAATTCATGTTTTTTAGTTATGAGAACTTCCTTTGAAATAATTCTTTAAGAATGACTTCCATTTTTCTCTTTAAAAATCCTATGTTAGACTTTGTGAACAGTTCTCTAATGGTCATTTTTCTGCTATTTTTCCATTTCTTTGTCTTTTGGTCAACTTTTTCAAATTATTTCCAACCCTTCTATTAAATTTTTCATTTGTCATATTTCCATTTTCCAAGAATTGTTTTTAGTTCTCTGATGATCTCTTTATTTCATCGCTTCAATACATTTACTTTTCTTCATAAGCTTAGTAATTATAACAGACATTTTCTTTCCTTCCGTTACCTCTGTTCTATTCACGTTCCCTTTTCCGTTTGTTTGTCATTTTAGTGGCTCTCTCTGGCAACCTTTGGCAACAAGTTTATACTGTACTTAAAAGTAAGGCACTAAAGAACAGATTAGAAGTTCTGTGTACTTGAGTTGGGCTTTGCTGGCTGATAGCTTCGGTTTAGGGTGCTCCAACTGGGCGGGGTTTGTTGTTTGTTTTTGAGGAACCCTTCAGTGTCACTATGGGTTGTTCTTCATAATACTTTTCAGTGTCTTCTGAGAGTTACCTGATGTAACTAAGTCTGCAAACCTTGCTGAGGGCATTCTCAGAGTGGATGGGTAAGGGGAGCCAAAATTTCAGTGTTGAGCACCGAGATGTTACTTCATTGCTCCCTCTCAGTGTAGCACTACAAGCCTCACAAGTGCCTTCTGAGAGTGAACACCATTCTTTTGCAAAGGTACAGAAAGGCATCCATTGGATTGAGGGGGGCATGTGTAGAAATTAAATGTCTGACTTTAAAGTATAAATTTTCAGTCAGTCTTTCTGTTTTAGACTTACTTTCTAGTACCTCCTGCTGCTAATAGCCACAATTTACTGGAACTGTATAGACTCATTTGCTATGGATATTCTCCCACTGCTAGCTTAGTTTGTAGCCTTCAGGTCTCTGAATTTTTTCATCTGTTGCTATGGCTTTACCTCCTGGATGTATATTTATAGTTCCCAGATAGATAGATAGATAGATAGATAGATAGATAGATAGATAGATCTGAATTAAGACATGTAAACCCAACTATCTCCTTGAAACCTCCACGTGAATAACAAGTAGACATTGCAAATTGGCATG